CACAGGTAACACACTGCACACTGTGAATACCCAAGTGTGTTCACAGGTAACACACCGCACACTGTGAATACCCAAGTGTGTTCACAGGTAACACACCGCATACTGTCAATACACAGGTGTGTTCACAGGTAACGCACCGCACACTGTCAATACCCAGGTGTGTTCACAGGTAACGCACCGCACACTGTCAATACCCAGGTGTGTTCACAGGTAACGCACTGCACTCTGTCAATACCCAGGTGTGTGTGTAGTGAGTCGCTACACGATGCCTGTTCATAGCTTAGAGGCTGACGGTAGATGGATCGCGGCTAGGTGACAGCTCCTCAAGTGAACTCGGTGAGTGTGCACGTTCACGGGTAAACATCGCTCTTATCAGCATTAACGTTACACTTCACCAAATGCAAAGATACCCCGTATAGTCTCAACAGACTGTTGGGGCAAGTGCTTTTAGCGAGCACCTATGAAGGCCGGCACGGTACGCGAGGGGGTGGGTGGCCAGCACCACGCCCGGCCGCCTTTGTCTCCCCAGTGGCGATGTTTACTACACGCCGCACCAGGTACTCGTTTGAGGCTGAGTCGACCTAGGGGAGGCCCAGGTCCTGCACCACCACCACCACAAGCACGAGCAGCATGCCCACCTCCCGCATCGGGCACGTGCTGTCGTGGACGGGACACGTGGACGACAGACTTTACCCTAGTGCAGCCCTTTGGTCAAATCCACTGCTGGATGATGGTTTCCCTCACCCCGAGTGGGGGAGGAGGGAGGGGTATTTGACCATACTTCACCACACTGGTTCGGTGAAGGCGACGAGCGAGTTCTACTTAAGTGGGAGCTTCGTAGTAAAGTTATTTCTGTCTGCGGGTTCTCATTGTATACATCACGTGGTGTGTTCATTGTTGTTATTATGGTTAAGATCGTGTGATGTGTTTCATCAGCGGTTGTTAAACCACCATGGTTTAGTAAACATTCTAGGAACGGAAATTGTAGATTATGTATAATCCCTCTATATTGTTTCAGTATGTGTATATATTTTACACAATACATTGACTTTTAATACGAAACGCGGTAAATACTTTGCTGACAGGATCTCTCTCCAAATGATAACCCATATAAACACACACTGTCACATTCACACATTATGTATGTCTCAATATATACCAGTCTCTCCACGTGCATTAAATGACTCGGGAGTAATATTTGCAAGTGATTCTTAGTAGTTAGGATAATGTGCATTTGGCGCACTGCGTAGAGTGACGCGGAATTGGAATTAATCGAAACATGACAATGCGTATTTTGTTTAAGTTGAGGTTACTCAATGATAGTTAAATTAACACCGCTATATCGAAAGCCGCATTCCCGTACAAAACAAAGTCGACGCTGGGCAGCGCATCTCTGCTATGAAGACGCAGAGCCATTGCCTAAAACGTCGGATATTACATATATACAGCACATGCTATATAGCAGTAAACAGATGCTGTACATTTTGTTTGTGATATCACTGTTAAGGCAGCGGCATCGCCAACGAATCACTATGAGACACGTGGTGGTCCTTCTGGGAGTGTCATGCGATAATAACGCAATTGGGTGATGTTAATTGCAAAGGCAAGCATCAATTAGCCTTCTCACAATGAACGTGAGAGCATCTTCGTCATATTCCCATAGGGTGATATATGCACATAGCACGTAGTACACCTGATTGTCATACAAACAACATATACACATCGATGCACGAACCGCAATCCGTATTATAACAATCAGAATGAACACTCACTGCGCATGCATCATCGCAGGATTAATCACAACCATTGTCAGTGCAGTATAATGTATATACACCACAGTGGCATTATATTTCGTGATAAACTGACTTTGAGCAAACTTAACTCGGATAAAGATATTGGTAAGTGATAAATATATTGTTTCGCCAACATATATCATGCACTATATGTACACAAACAGATATAAACACAAAACGACACACATCTAGTGAATTAGAGCCACTAACAGCCAAATAGAGCGATCCAAAGAGCTGTTAGCGAGCACCCGTTAAAGACGAACACGCCTTTTTGTCTGTGTGTGTATACACTACATATATGTTTATGTCTTACAGCGGTCAGCGCTACGCTGCGCTATTGTCACCCGGGTTCGATTCCCGCTCACGCACAACGCCCAGCGACGATGATCTGAACCGGTCCTGGGCATCCCCCCTAGGTCGACTCGGCCTCTAAATGGTGTCGGCCTTCATAGCTGCTGCTCGCCAACAGCACTTGCCCCTACAGTCTGTTACAGGCTACACGGGGTGCCTTTGTCTGTGTGTGTGTCTGTGTGTGTGCAGACGCACAGACACAGACGCACACAGACATACACACACAGACACACACACACACAGACACACACAGCGCACGCTCATTGCCGGGTTGTTGTTGTTGACTTGCCCAGCTCGCGGCACGGATCAAAGAGTCGCGTGTGTGTCTGGTGTGACACACACACATATATGTGTGTGTGTCTGGTGTGACACATATATGTGTGTGTGTGTATGGTGTGACACACACATATATGTGTGTATGTCTGGTGTGACACACACACATGGTGTGACACACACACATATACACACATATATGTGTGTATGTCTGGTGTGACAAACGCAGCTGTATCTCTACATCTATCAGCATGTGCCGTTCTCTAGGCACAGCCGAAGGCTTCAGTGACGACGTTGCAGGCACTTGCAGGTCGCTTTTAAAGCCTGGGGTCACCCCCCCCCAGGTCGAAAGTATCAAAACTTCCTCGACGGATACACGGCTGGGGGTCACGGCTTGCGAACACACACAACACACACAACACACACAACACACACAAGTGACGGATTTGCATTGCCATCAATATGCAGCTTCGTGCAATATGTGGGGTGCAGTAGCTACTGGTTGCAGCATAGCAAGTGTACTTACCGGTTAGGGTGTAAAGGAATACGCGAGGCGTGACATTACGGTATATCCAATGCACACGCGGCTGTTATAATTATACATAGGTTGATCCATTTATAGACACCCCACTCATAATGTAACGTCTCTCTGGCTTTCTTCTCAACGGGTGACGAATACCGTGAAAGCGATGGTTCGGCACGTTACAGAAAGGAGGAGGGTCACGAGGCATGTGGGAGACGCGTCGAGGATTTGCAATCCAAAATATTGGTTCCACTTACAATGTCTCCTTGTTATTGTGGTAGGGTATATATAAATGGATCACTCCGAATTTCTGTAATACATTTGCATTAACGAAGTGAGTTGAATGCGTCTGCAAGTAATCCGTTACTACACAAACACAATGTGCAATTACTCACTACAAGGCGGCAATGCTATTTATAGTTTCAATACATCTGTAGTTAATAACGTAACAGTAACACGACGTATTGTGACTAGTTACATGAGCATGCTGCATTTCTAGTTACGAGTTAAATTACAGAAATACATCTCTGGCTACTAGTTAGATGCCTGCGCTACATCTCTTGTTCCCACTTACATTACCATAATAGACCGCTAGTTACTACTTACGTGACCCTAACACTTCTGCCGTCACGAGTTTCGTTTCATCTCCGCGTCTCTCGTCTCCGTGACCGCGCCTGCCGTGGCCGTGCCCTCTGTGCAGGTGAGTACGTGGTGTGAGAGTACGCGGGGTGAGAGTACGTGGGGTGAGAGTACGTGGGGTGAGAGTACGTGGGGTGAGAGTACGTGGGGTGAGAGTACGTGGGGTGAGAGTACACTGAGTGAGAGTACGTGGGGTGAGAGTACGCGGGGTGAGAGTACGTGGGGTGAGAGTACGTGGTGTGAGAGTACGTGGGGTGAGAGTACGCGGGGTGAGAGTACGCGGGGTGAGAGTACGTGGTGTGAGGGTACGCGGGGCGAGAGTACGCGGGGTGAGAGTACGCGGTGTGAGAGTACGTGGGGTGAGTGTACGTGGGGTGGGAGTACGTGGGGTGAGAGTACGTGGGGTGAGAGTACGTGGGGTGAGAGTACACTGAGTGAGAGTACGTGGGGTGAGAGTACACTGAGTGAGAGTACGTGGGGTGAGAGTACGTGGGATGAGAGTACGTGGGGTGAGAGTACACTGAGTGAGAGTACGCGGAGTGAGAGTACGTGGGGTGAGAGTGCACTGAGTGAGAGTACGTGGGGTGAGAGTACGTGGGGTGAGAGTACGTGGGGTGAGAGTACACTGAGTGAGAGTACGCGGAGTGAGAGTACGTGGCGTGAGGGTACGCTGGGTGAGAGTACGCGGGGTGAGAGTACGCTGAGTGAGAGTACGCTGAGTGAGAGTACGCTGAGTGAGAGTGAGCTGAGTAAGAGTACGTGGTGTGAGAGTACACGGGGTGAGAGTACGCTGAGTGAGAGTACGCTGAGTGAGAGTACGCGGGGTGAGAGTACGTGGGGTGAGAGTACGTGGGGTGAGAGTACGCGGGGTGAGTGTACGTGGGGTGAGAGTACGTGGGGTGAGAGTACGTGGGGTGAGAGTACGCTAAGTGAGAGTACGCCGAGTGAGAGTATGCTGAGTGAGAGTACGCGGGGTGAGAGTACGTGGGGTGAGAGTACGTGGTGTGAGAGTACGTGGGGTGAGAGTACGCTAAGTGAGAGTACGCTGAGTGAGAGTACGCTGAGTGAGAGTACGTGGCGTGAGAGTACACGGGGTGAGAGTACGCGGGGTGAGAGTACGCTGAGTGAGAGTACGCAGGGTGAGAGTACGCGGGGTGAGAGTACGCAGTATGAGAGTACGCAGGGTGAGAGTACGCTGAGTGAGAGTACGCAGGGTGAGAGTACGTGGGGTGAGTACGCGGGGTGAGAGTACGTGGGGTGAGAGTACGTGGGGTGAGAGTACGCGGGGTGAGAGTATGAGGTGAGCGTGGTTGGTGGTGAATTTGAATGCCCGTGCGTACTTCCGTTACCACGGAGGAAGAGTTCTCATCATCATCAACAACAACCGCCATGCCGAGCGAGATGACCGCACATCGCGTTACCTTGCCACAGAGGTCGCACGCGAACAGCTTGCTCCTGTCGCTGCTCTGCTTGCTCGACTCCGTCTTGCCCGAGACGCTTCTGACGCCGCTGGCGGCGGCGGTGGCGAATGCCTCCCCAGGGGAGGGCCTCTTCCCGGGGCCGACGCCCCGGGACTGCAGCCCGCACGACAGGGACTCGAACCCGGGGGCCTGCGCCTTGTCGGCTCCAGTCTGGATCGCGTCCCCGGCTCCATGAGCCTTGGTCTTCTCCACCCACTGTCGATGCTGATGCTGCTGCTGCTTTTGCTGCTGCTTTTGCTGCTGCTGATGATGGTTATGATGATGCTGCTGCTGCTGGTGGTGATGGTGGTGCTGCTGCTGTTGTTGTTGGACTTTCGTCTGAACGTGCAAGGCTCTGGTGGCGTCGGCCGCTGGGACAGGCGCGGCCGTGGAGCAGAGGCGAGCGCCGCGTGGGCCCGCGGGGGTCTGCGGGACAGCCGCCGGAGCAGTCTCGGCATGCTGGCCGAAGCAAGAGTTGAGGGCGTAGAAAGTCCTCGCCGTGTGCTGCAGGTGCTGCAGGTGCTCCACAAAGGCTGGGCGCACCACCTGGTGGTGATGGTGGTGGTTGGTGGTGGTGGTGCCGTTCTGCTGGCCGTTGGCGCACTGCAACGCGTGGTCCACAAGCGAGCCGGCCCTGGCGAGAAGCTTCCCACCAGACAGACACACGGGACCGCAGGACGCGTACGGCTGGTGGTGCTGCTGCTGGTGGTGCTGGTGGTGGTGGTGCTGGTGGCTGTTGTCGTGGTGTTTGCCGCCCGGCACCGCGTACTTCCACAAGTCGGGGCAGGCCGCGCATCCCACGGGGAAGGCGCAGGGCAAGGGGGGCGCCAGGGGCCCCGCGGGGAGTTTCGAAGCAGCGTCCGAAGTGTCCGCCATGATCCGTTCGATGGAGAAGGTGAGCGCTTTGTTGTTGGCCATGGCTGAGGGCCCCGCTGAGCTGCCCGCCCGTGGTGGCGTGCCAGGGGAGGTGGCCGCAGCGTGGACGCGGCGGGCCGCTGGCTCGGCCGCCTCTCCTCCTCCTCGACGCCCGCGACGCCGTGCGAGGCGCTTCCTCAACTTCAGCTCTTCCGTGCGCAAAGCAGAGGGCGGTGGGGGTCACGGCTCGGTCAGCACGGGGATCACGGCTCAGCCTGGCACGGGGTCACGGCTCAGTCTGGCACGGGGTCACGGCTCGGTCTGGCACGGGGTCACGGCTCGGTCTGGCACGGGGTCACGGCTCAGCCTGGCACGGGGTCACGGCTCGGTCAGCACGGGGTCACGGCTCGGTCTGGCACGGGGTCACGGCTCGGTCTGGCACGGAGACAGCGAGAGACGCCACCTCCGGGTGACACAAGAGACACAGTCAGAATATTTATACAGGGAGGAATCCGATGAGCTGTAAAGCTCTTCCCCCCCCCCCCCCCCCCCGAGACCGTTATCACACGACGGGCGGCACGAGCGCCTTACGGATGTCCACGTGGAGGTTCTGTCGGAATTATCCTACAGAAGCAAAGAGCGCCCCGCCGATCACTCACTCTCTCCCTGTGAATTGGTGAGGAACTCACCAGACAAGAGGAGAGCGCGTGCAGGCTGCGAGCAAATAAGAGGAGTCGACATTGTCGTTATGAGCCGTGGCCAATCCACTGCTGGATGAGGGCCTCCTCAAGCAGTGTGTAGAGGAATACGACACGCGCAAAAGGGTGATTTGCTATCCAGGAACCACCTTTGATTACGTGCGTGGCGTTACTCTGTGTAGTTATTATCGTTACGACAGTCGATTGAGCCAGACACTGACGCGAAACGGAGTGAATTCACTCACCGGGGCAAGGAATAATGAACAGGCGATGGTCAAACGGTCAAATTAATATTGAGCCTTCACTTGAACATTGAAGCGTGCGAGTGATTATCACCGGCGGGCGTACACACATTCCGTCGAGAACGCGCCGAGTTAAATACAAGTCACGATCTTCGTCACTGCGTGAGCGAACATTCTTACTTATATCGGCGTTTCTGAAACACAAATATACTCCATCATAAATCAAACTCGAGCATCTTTGTCGTAAAGGCAATAATCACACGCGGATTCCACGCGAGCTTGAGCTACGATGATGACGATCATGATTTTTTTTAAAAAATGTTTAACATCTTCGGAGGGCGCGTGCATCACATAGATCTGTCAATCACTGCACAAAGCAGCATCACGTAACTTCAGTCCGCGCGCAATCAGTCGATTAATGATCCAAGAGCGGACGTACCTGGCGTGCCGTCGCTTAACCGTCACGCGGCACAGATGATGAAGATGTTGATGATGATGTTGATGATAAGAGGGAGTCTTTCTCTCTATTGAAGGGAGACGTGGTCGGAGATTGGAATGGAGCTGTCACGCAGTGACAGGCGTACTCGCGTCATGTTCTTTAATGAGTTTCTAAAGAAGATGACGAGTCCGTGTCTGGGCTAAAGAGTGAGAGGGAGCGAGAGAGGGGCGGGAGAAGGAGGTGGGAAGGAGGGGGGGGGGGTGTTTGGAGTTCGGAAAGCCTTCAGATGGTCCAGCAATCGCAACCACCTCCCACACATCCACCCACCACCCACCCACCCTGCCCGTCCACCCACCGTTTCCCTCTCCTCGTCACCCCGAACATCCACGCGCCACCTCCTCCCCTTCCTCCTCCTCCTCCTCTAGCCCACGCCTCGAACCCAATCAGGGCGAATCTCCAGAGTCAATTGTACGCACGCACCGCATCCTCTCCCTCTCTCTCTCCCCTCATTCAGCGCCGGCCCTTTTATTCCTCTGCTCCTTCGTTATTTATTTATCTAATCCCGGATGGGGTTTTTAGATCTCCCCCCCACCTCTGCTCGTGGTGTTTTTGTCGTTGGAGGTGAAAGTCCCTCGGGGCCGCTTGGGAAGCCGCGCACGGCACCGGACGGATCGTGCGGATGGTGCTCATGATGATGATGCAAATGTACCTCCTGTACAATTGTAGATAGATCCATAATATCTCAAGTAAAACTACTGTCGATTTTTCGAGATATGAAATCGAGGGATTGCCTTGAGTATTCGTTGTGTCGTTGCTTCGTGTTCTTCACAACGGCGCTCATGTTTGTATTGCGTTCCGTGTGACGCACGTGTTCATATGCAACTATAATCTCAACGTTTTCTTAACTGAGTGCGTATCGTATCATAATAATCATCGTAGTGGAACGTGTGTGTGTGTATATACATCGCACAATAACCTTTGTCAATCCCCTACTGGATGATCACCTCCCCCAGCGTCGTATCGGTCGCGTGGGATTGTTTGACCATACTTCACCACGCTGGTCAGTGCGGGGTTGGTGAAGAGTGTAGGGGTCACGTGGACCGGTGTTGGGGTCACGTGGACCGGTGCAGAAATCACTCGCCACTGCCGGCATTCGCGAGCGGGAGTCACGCTCAGATCGCCGGACCTCACGGCGCAGTGCGCTAACCAACTGCACCACCGCTCCCGGACAATGTGTACGTCGTGTCGCGTGCCAGCTGTGGACAAGAGCTTCGCAGCTCACCGGATTCATCCAGGTCTAAATAATGATCCCGATTCCGAACAGAAAGAAGGGAGCGCAAGTCGTATAACACCGTCACGGAGTGCTTTTTACGTTGAACGAGAGCGGAGTTGAGCAAGAGGCTCCCCCACATCGCAAGCAGGGGGACGATGGCAACGGCGCTGCTCTGAGAAGAGCGACCGAGTGGAGTGGCCCCCTGGGCAGGGAACGCGCTCCGGGGCACGCGCCCCGCGGAGATGGAGCGGCGGGATCGTGGTGTGGGCAGCGCGCTCGTTGCATTGCAAGCACCCCGAGGAGGTGGCTTTCATCCAGCAGTGGATTGGTAATGGCTGATCGGGATAAGTCCATCATCATGGACCGTCTAAATGTGTGTACATATACGGTACTTATTAAAAGTGGGAATCATAACGGTCTTAATGTCCATGAAATTAACGAATCAACACTAAACAGAAACACTTATTAATAATCGTATATGGGTGTATATATATGTCAGTTGCCTTGTGTTTTACGTTCACACGCTGCATTAATTGCAAGCGGCGCGCTGCTGCCGCAGTCAAACACTCATGGTGATCGTCACCACCAGCAGCAGCAGCAGCAGCTAAGTCAGACGCGCGCACAAGGAACACGGCCGTGCGAGCCGCTGCGTCCTTGGGGATACCTGGCAATGCCCGCGACACTGAGAGACGGCGAGAGGAGCTCCCGGATCATCGAACGCAGCTTCACAAACCGTGACATCATCTTGGGGCTCTGGGTAGGACGCATCATGGCTTGAAGCGTCACATCGCAGCTCATCATAGACGGATAGACAAAGAGATGGAGCGACGAAAAACAGAGATCGCGTGGCAATGGATTGTTTGCGTCTGGATCGTTCATGGAGGGCGATGATGGTGATGGTTAGCACTGCGTGATATGTCCTGTACGTTGAATTACGTTGGCAATGGCGCAGAAGCACACGTAACAAGAAAACACTCAACAGCTTGAAGAAGGTCCAATGACCGAAACGTCACCTGTTGTATCTAGTTCTCTCCCTTGGAAGGCCGCGGTAAGATTGACGAATGTGGCGAGTGTTTTTTTTTTCATACACGTTGAAACGGCGCTGTTTGGTGCACCATATTTACGCGTTTGTGACAATTAAAAAGTCTTCTCCACCTTTCCATTGGCTTTAACGTCACACTCAACGGGAGGCGAATTACTCGGTTCGCTGTGCACCGAGTTATGTTCACTTGCTGCGCGTGAGCGTGCGACTCCGGCCACTTGGAACTCTGCGCTGACCCCAAACGAGTGCCCCTCTGGCTGACGTCCACTTCCCATCCCTCGTAAGGCGTCGCGAGGTTGTCCCGAGTCACTCTCAGGTCGCCCGCGAGTTTGGGGATAGCCTCAGGACTTAGTCAGCGGGTGGACATTCCACATTACAATGGCCGGAGCCCAGTCCATGCGAACAATTATCACCACTTAGCTGGCGGTGGAGCATCGAGAACGCGTGGCGTGTGTGGGCAGTGCACAGCAGAGCGCTAACTCCATTATCTATGCCAATCATTGCCAATTTCACAAGAGATTTCGCTGCCCCTAACACAGTCATAACAATAATGAATCTGAACACAAACAACTGTGCGCGCTCGAAGTGGGGAAACATAAAATAGGCGACGATCCGGACGATGACCCTCCTTCGGGGCACATACAAGACGCGATGAGCGCAAAATGGTACCTTAGCTGCTATTTGAGCCGAGAAGTCTTAAACGTTGAAGGTGAACGACGCCAAGACGACTGTGAGGCTCAGGACGTGACACGAGGAGGAGGAGGTGGAGGAGGTGGAGGAGGGGCACTAGCGAGGCCGGCGAGCGGCTTCGCAGTCTCTGGGCGCCAACTTCAGAAGGCGCCAACAGACGTCCGTGCTGGGAGCTCCGCACAGATGATGAACACGTTACCTCCAGGCTGATGCTGATGGCGATCGATGTTTTCAGTTTTAAGTTTCATTTATTAGGTATAGCCCTGTGAGCCATGCGGCTCTTGACTCGGGTGCAACCGCAACAAACAAAACACATGAACAAGAATAAACATCTTAAAGTGGCTACACGCAACAGAAAAATCCAGGAAAAAACAACAAAAGTCTTCTGCACGTCACTGCAATAACCACCATCTACGATAGTGATAACGATGTTGCTTACGACAATGACGCGTTGACAGTCACGATGAGAATTACCATCACGACCGTGATGATGGCGATTTCTTTTAAACATCACGCGACGACGATGATGTTGCTACTGCTGTTGCTTGCTTGTTATTGTTGTTACTGCTGTTGCCATTGCTTCTGATGTGTGTGTGTTGTTGTTGTCGTGCTGCCGCCGATACTGATGCTGCTGCTGCTGATGCCACATATAATGCTTCTGATGATGATGTTCATTATTCTGATGCCGCCGCCGATATCTGTGCTGTGGCTACCGCTGTTGGGAATGTTGATGAAGCGATGCCAGGAGACAGTAGCAAGAACATGGATCTGTGTTGTGCGTCGGTGGCACCATGGACGAGCAATGGCAATAAACATCAACAATAACCCCATCATCATCATCAACATCATCACCATCAACAATAACACCATCATCATCAACATCATCACCACCAACATCATCATCAACAATAACCCCATCATCATCAACATCATCACCACCACCATCAACAATAACACCATCATCATCAACATCATCACCACCAACATCATCATCAACAATAACACCATCATCATCAACATCATCACCATCAACAATAACACCATCATCATCAACATCATCACCACCAACATCATCATCAACAATAACACCATCATCATCAACATCATCACCACCAACATCATCACCATCATCATCAACA